GAAGTGAAGATTTAAGTAGATATTTACGTTTGTTCTTGGAAGTCTTAATTATTTTTTTTATTTTACATAAAGATACGATTATAATTATAATCAGTAATAGAACTAGTGGGTACGAAACCCCCGTTTTCATTACCGGTACTATTAAGAGTAAAACACAATCCAGTATGTACCCTGAAACCAAAGTGATAATAGGTTGACGGTACTCTATTGTATCTTGGCTTAATTAACACGAGATAACCTTAGTCACAGTTGGAAGTGTAGGAGGAGCCCTCGCAGTTGTCATGAGTTGAACAAATGTGTTGGGTGGTTGCTTATACACGGAGCCCGCCCGTCCCTCCCCGACGTCTGGCTGCTCACCATCTGCCACACATTGCTGGCACCACGCCATAATTTACTACTGGACAATGCCCCCCCCCCCACGTATAATGTCCCTGTTCAATAATTATACATATGTACGTGACGTATTACACAAAAGTCTGTGATGGAGGAATTTTAGGTGGGTGTTGGTATGATGTGCTAACGTAACCAGGGGATGGGGGGGGGCAGTGTCAGGGGGACTGGTAGTTCTGCAGATCTTCCGCTGAGCATTAGTCAAATCACTTGGGTTAACGGGTGCGAGGCTTGGGTGGTGATGTTGCTTGGGGGGGGGGGGCATACCGTTGTGATACAATGCGTTGTACAATTTACGAACAAAGGGAGCTACTGCACCTTTCTTGTGCTCATAGTTGAGAAGAATTAAATCAATGTTTATGTGGCTCCTTTTAGGGGGTGTTGATCATTTAAGCAATCGTTTATAATGATCAACACCAACAGGAGTGCTACTGTTAGCTTCGGGAAGGTTGGTGAGCAGGCAAGACCAAAGTAACAACTGCCTGGCAAGAGTGGCATGACCAGTCGAGTTGCGTCGGGTGATCTGTGCTGTGCCCGGACTGCTCAAACAACCACCCCTTGGCTCTTGTGTAACCTTACACCTATTTTGGTCACTGTCTTCTGGTAGATCAGTATGTACCATACGCAACGTACCTGGTACAGTAAATTAAATTACATCATAAATCTACTTTGGTTCTTCTTGACTGTTTTGGCCCTTGTACTAAAAGTTTATCTATATGGCTAATGTCTACCAGTATATAAATTTATAGCAATCTTACAAAATGTACGTGGGAACATTGGTAATCCTGTGTAAAAGTTTTCTGGGAGAGAGATGATTAATCAATGGTAACTTGTGACATTATAATGCAAACGACGTGTGTTTATTTTGAACCAGATGTTTGGGGTTCCCAGTACAGTTGAACATCCTCTGATAGTTTATCCTACATAATTGTAGAGCGCATCCGCCCGGCCTCAACAGCCCTCCGTTACGTTGTCCTGCTAACTCCTGACCTCTGGCCCCCACAGTTACACTCAGGCTCACCATTTCTTGCATAAATACTTTCTCATACTGTATCTCATAAAGTGTGATGTCACGCTGCCGTCAACGGGAAGTGTAAATACCAGCCACGTTAATGGAATTTTGATAGGTGGTATGAACATCCTGGTTGTAATGAGTCTCGCCCCCATGGATGATGTTAAACGAGTGGATGTGGAGAGCTGTTAAGGCTGTGAGGAGGGCTAGGTCACTGGGGGATGAGAGGGGCTGGGTGTAGTAGGAGGAGGGAGGGAGGTGGGAGAGACGAGCGGGCAGCGGCAGGGTGGGGGTGTGGCCAAACATGGACATGGCGTGTGCGTGCCCACCACCACCCGGCCACTACCCAGCCATTGGAGTGGCGGTCACAGTCAGGCTAGCCCAGGCGGCAGCTTCAGCAACAACACCTACCATGGCGACGGCGCTCCTCCTCTGGTTGGCTGGTGGTGGTACACGTACACAGCCACACAATTACACGTCGCCGCTTAAAGCTCCCTCCCCTTGCTCCTCTTTCTCCCTTTCACTTATTTTGTGCATTCTTACTACCCGCATCCACTATAACGTACACTATAGCAAACCACATCTACACTCATTATCAAAATACAAGTAACACTTGACGAATACCACATTAATATACCCTCTTAAACACACATGCAGTACTGTGTGTTTAATGTCCAAGGATAAATATCTGTAGATGAGAAAGAGTCGTCGTGAGGAGAGGAATGGATCTAGTAGGTGCCGTAACAGCGGATGCTCTTTATCTCCATTTTCCGGAGAACGTGAATCTGTGTGTGGGGGGGGGGGTTAAAGGACCACTCTCCGTGCATTCGAAGATTCTTGTCTCATCTCCCTTGATTGGTTTTCCCTCCTCCTAGTCACAGGCCTGGCATTTGACATTATTAGGGACCTGCCACTCTTTGCCCTAAACAGATGAAATGTACCGGGAATTTTCCCCCCACACACTCATCATTCTCTCACTTTATGTAACTTGACGAAACCTATGACCCTTCAGGCTTTTACGCCCTTAATGTACGAGTCATTAAGGCAAGTATGAACTTTTCATACTTCCCTGTTGGGCGCTGTAAACGCTTCTGCGCTTCACCTTGCACAGGATGTAAGGGGGTGCCCAATAAACTAGCCCCCTCGGGGGCAAATCTGAAATCTCCCTTGATTGGTGTACCCTCCCATTCCTGTCTCTTTAACACTGTGTGAGAAGACCTTTCACCTTTTGCTAGGGGTCAGCTGCTCTTGCCTTCACATCCTGACAGCTTGTTTGTCTTTCCCACATTTGATATTAAAAAAATGTAGCGTCATAGAACATGGTTAAAAAAGAAGTTAAATTTGTAATCCAAGACTTATGAAAAAATAAGAGTCCATCCCTGACAAAGAATTTAGATTGTTGTACGACGCCGTAGTAAAATTTTCTGCCCATCCCTCACGAAAAAAAAAATGTATTGCATACCATTTGGGAAAAGAAACTTGGGTTACAATACTCTTATCTCCCTTGGTAAAGAAGCCGCCATAGGTTGCGATGTCCATCTCGCAACAATATCATTTTTGTGTGTCTCCATCCTATGAAGAAATTATTTGCATGCAAGACCAGAGTACAGGAACAGAACAACCTCGGGCACAGTAGTACCCAGTGTGGTTGGGGTGGGTTTCCTGACGAGGCTTCTTGTCCCGGACGCATCACCAGTTACACTTACTTATGAATTGAAAGTAAACACCATTGTTAGAAATGCAAGCCTATTGTCTCACTATAGTCCATACACAGTATATAGCAACAGGGTGACAATATATACACCTAGATGAATATAGTTTAGTTGTTAAGTTTGTTAGGGCAGTACCACTAGTAGACCACTATTTCAGGTTTTCCGCGGAAGTATCAGACAGATTTGCACAACCACTCACGCGTCCTTCTGTGTTAGAGAGCAACCAGGGACGGCCTGGGGAATCAATGAGAAGACTGCTACCTTTTAAGGCCAACCAAGGAGCCATTGTATGACTCACAGGCCCAAGGGCGTCTCCAGACCTGCCCGGTGTGTGCTGCCCTTGTCCGAAAATTACTGAAAGGCAATGAACCATGCAGGGAAATTAGTAGTGTGTTAAGAGTAGATTGTGTAATGGGCTCTGAGTCAATAAATGTAAGGCGCTTGCTCGCCGTGAGATTAAAAAGTGTTTTGGGAGAGTGAAGGTGTAAGTGTGGACAGGTGGCACCACCACCAGATGGCCATCCTGGACCTTTCGCCCAGCAGTTTACACTCACCTCACCCCCTAGCAACCTACGGTCAACTGTGGGCTTGAAGACACGACAGTTACTCTAGCTCGGCTCAACCCAAACACCAATTATCTGTTTGGGTATCATGGAGTTAAATACATGTGTGTTCTTCATGATATCACCCGCAGAAGCCTCTGGTGGGTGTGTACGAATGTGCTTGGAATTAGCGACAAGTCTTGTGTGGCAAGACTCTTTGAGCATAATTTTAGCTTATATTTTGCAGTTCTAAAACTATGCAAGATAGCTTAGTGTTGGGAACAGTAGGCTATACTTGGAAGTGTTATGAACATACTTTTAATTAGTACAACATAGGAAGGTTTTCATAGGATAACTGCAGCAGATCCTAGTCTTACAAACACAGGTGTAGTAAACACCACCGAGACTACCAAAGGGACAATATGATTGCATGTTGTGGTGATCTTGTGTTCTGTCGCACTCAAGATCTCACCTAAACTCCTTAGTGAAGTTGCCAAGCATTCAGTTAAATGCCTTGTGGATGTCCATTATTTGCCTTACTTAATAATTCCTTTTCTCTTTTATTTTGCAGTGGGTATCTTTTATTTCCATGTGAACTAGCAATGATGTGTATTATGTATGTCTTTGGTTTTATTATTTGTAAATGGAGTTTTGTTTATATTTATTTCCATTCGACTAATTATTACTGTGTGTTACTTGAGTTAGCAGAAAAATATCCAGTGTACCATTCAATACAAATAAGATAGTGTCATACCTAAAATACATTACAGTCCCTCCCATGCTTGATAAAAGATTCCCTCGTGGGTCTACAAGATAAACCTCCCTCGGAATAACCTAAATGAGCTAACTCGAGTGTTCAGCACCAGAAATTTTCCTCTTGATTTTGCTGCTTCCCTTTTGGAGAATTCAGTAATTTTTTTGGTTCCGTAAGATTATATTAATGCAGTGTAATAATATCACGCCTATTTAATTTTTCTACTTCTGCATATCAAGTACTACTAGCCTACACAAAAGTAAATACTGAAAACTCAAACTCAGTTCATTATATCATCACTAATTTATCTCCTCCCTAGACCTCATGTGAAAGCCAGAATGGTGTCTGTTTTAGAACAAGTATGAAAGTTGGTGTGGAGAAAGCCGCTCAAAGAAAGTAGCGGGAGTGTGGAGTTTTGTGCGGCCGTTATCAGTGTGCTCAGGAAACTACACGAGTCGTGTGTGTGTGCGCGCGTATGTGCGTGCGTGCGTCCTTTTGTGTGTGTGTGTGTGTGTAAGCCGCATAGCAAAAGCTCTCTTGCAGACGTTGAAGGCGGTACTCTGATTGTTCGCTCCTTTTTACATTTACAGGCTGAGGGTGAGGTGGCCGCTCTTAACCGTCGCATCCAGCTGCTGGAAGAGGACCTGGAACGCTCTGAGGAGCGCCTCAACACCGCCACCACCAAGCTGGCCGAGGCTTCTCAGGCCGCCGACGAGTCCGAGCGGTCAGTATCTCCTGACGAACAGGACCAGCGCGCCCAACACCTCCTCTCCCGCATCGCCGACATCGGGGCCAAAGTGGAGCGCCTCTTCGCCGCCCTCCAGGCTGAGCAGGCGGTGCAGGAGGCGCTCTGACCCGCTCAGTCTGCCACCCACCATGCCCCCTCCCATACCCACTGCTACCTTCCTCCTTTCATCCTTGTGGGCGGTGTGTGGTCTTGGGGGCGTGGGTCGGCGGTGCTGGGGGAGAGGTCGGGTCGACTCATCCCCAGCCCATACTGCACACCTTACATACGACACAACTGCGTCATACCCTAGTAATCATAAAGCTTAAAAAAAATTATAGAAAAAAAAATTATATATTCACCAAAGAGCAGGGGAGAGAATGAGAGCAATAGAAACGATATGAAAAAGTAAAAAAAAAAAAGTTAGCAAGGCAAAGTGTTGGAATTGTGTAGTAAAGCTTGGTCGTGGTGGTGGGTGTGCCACGCGGCCCCTTGTGGTTACTTGTCGCCGGCCAGGGTTGACGGGGCCACCACAGGTAAGTCTCAAAACACACCTGGGCAACTCGTCGCACTTGCCCGCCCCACCACAATAAACCCTCCCACCTACACATCACTTGTATGTATTTATTTACATGTATCTTATGTATTAATTTCTTAGGTATGTTGCCACAAATTCTCTCATAAGTTTTCATTTACACATTGCACTGTAAAACTATTGATAACTATTTCTTCATTTACACATTACCCCGACCTCATTTATTGATGTACGTATTGCCAAATATAGGTGTTAATTTATTAGTTGTACGCACAGTATTACAGAATAGTTGTACAATATAATGCAGGATTCGGAAATCATTATTTTTACGTGGCTAAACCATTGGTCTTAGGGCGTTTTCATTTAACAAAGAACAAGTTTTACTCTTTAAAAAAATTCCTGAGAGACATTTTAGCAGTACAAGAAGGATAAACTATTAACCAAATTATACACAACCTCAACCCAGTAGTAAAGACCAAAAATAGTCACTGTTGTTGTTTAATAAAAGTGTCTTGAGAAGTTAGTCCAAAATACTATCACTGTTAGATAACTTCATTCTGAAAGACTCAAACGCTGTTCCTCAACTTGAAAAGTCACAAACTGGTCTTATTTTTTAATACATAAGGTATAATATAATAAAAGCTGTTGTCACTCTGGTTAGTAGCTATCGGTGGACGTTACGATTGTGATCAACACCTTCATATATTTAATTATTTGCCTTTTTAGCTCATATCCTGTAAATTAATTGGAAAATCTCAGTATCGTATCACAGTAAATCTCATTCTTAATCCTTTCCCATTCTTCTAAAGTTCCTGCACGTGATGAAGGTGCTCCGCCTATTTAAATTTGAATTGTAGAATATTGAATCTGATTATAAATGTTAAGGGCGTAAAAGTGCTCGGATAGCTACAGCCGGAAGCGTCAACACCGGAAACGTATTGCTATAATATATCGTAATTCTACGCAAGTTTTAGGTAGACCCATTATAAAAGTATGATGATGTTAACCAAAACGTATTTCCTCTTTGTATCTTCCTGCTGCTATTGTTGGATGTTCCACCAAATACCACCACAACCTTCACCTTGACCAACCGTCCATCTTCATCATTATCGTCTCCTCCCCATCACCACCACCAGAGCCCGCAAGTGCTTGGAAAACCGAGCAAACATGGAAGACGATCGTGTGGGCATCTTGGAGACCCAGCTGGCACAGGCTAAGCATATTGCTGAGGAGGCAGATAAGAAATATGAAGAGGTACGACCTTCTCAGTGCCCCTGTGTAATTGTTGGTCCTGGGAGACCACCCCATGACCCGGCCAGTCACGGCAGACACGCTAGTAGTAATGAGGAAGGCAATAAATAAATAAGTAAATAAGGAGCTTATAACTTTGTAAGACTAGTAAAGTATAAGGAATCGGTGCTGCCTCCTTCCTCCTACGTGGACACTGTCGCACGTCTGGCTAGGGTGGGAATTAATCCTATTAGTCACAAGTGCCTCAGCAATGGTGTCGAGGAGCAGCAGCAGGATTACTGTCCGTGGGTGTCGAGCGTCGGGTATTGTGGACTCAACTCTAACCCGTCGGCTTGTTCCTCCCCCCCACAGCATGCGCAAGGTGCTCGAGAACCGCTCCCTGTCCGACGAGGAGCGCATGGATGCCCTCGAGAACCAGCTTAAGGAGGCCCGTTTCCTGGCTGAGGAGGCCGACAGGAAATACGACGAGGTGATTGCCGCATGATGGCAGGCGTCGTGTTGATGTGTGTTCTTACTTGTCTCCTCTAACAGTCGCGTGACGCCCTGCGGCCACCACTGCCAGCCGCCAGTAGTTATTATTACTAACTCGTGTCGTCTCATGACCGTATCTTTGTCTGTTTCAGGAGTCCTGCCCCAGTACCTTCTCTAGGTTATCCCATGTGTGTTTTAACTTCTTGATAAAAGTAGAATAATATGCCATCTTAGCAACCACTTACTCTCTCTACTAACTGTCAAGACAACATTCACAGCCTCCACTGAACTTCAGTAAAATGTTGGAATTGATCCGTGTGGTTTTCAATGCCATAATGCAGCATGATTAACCCCCGTGGATGCCACTCTAGGCCTAGGTTTTTTTTACCAGAAAATTTCTTACCTAGAAATCTTTCTTTTAAAATTTTTCAATCTTTTGTAAAAAAATAAAAATATAATCTTCTAAAGCTTTGTCATACTAGTAAACGTCACACTTCCACTATTAACCCGGGGTCGGGGTCCCCAGTATCCATTAATTGATTGTAGCGTTACGGAAACGCGCCGTTGCCCTTCTGGCCTCCTGTATCCCATACATGGTGGCTTGATACCCGTCCTCTTCCTCTTGACTGATGGCTCCTCCTGCCCACGTCCACAGGTTGCCCGTAAGCTGGCCATGGTTGAAGCCGACCTTGAGCGTGCTGAGGAGCGTGCCGAGACTGGTGAATCGTAAGTGTCAGGTTTAAGGGCGGTACAGCACGGGACGGTTTTCTATTCCTGAGGCCGCAAACCTCAACTTTTGTGTGTTGTGTAGAACTCGGACCTGCATGTTGCAACGTTTTGGGCATAACATTCCTCGAGGCGTACTTCTTGTGCACTGACGTCATTAATAGATTTTGAAAAACTTCTTATTATCTCAAAGAATGTCTTCACATAGGAGTTTCATATTAAGTTTAATAGACGCAGCACTGACAGCCTGTTGAGAAATGTGTGCCCTGATTGTTGTGTATAGCTGCCACCAACACGAGGGAAGGGGAGTGCAGCTGTCTTCAGTCGTAACAGCGTGCAGCTGGCAAGCTGTCTCCAGCCATAACACAGCGGTGATCACAAGTAATGTACGGCGTGGCAGACTTCGGCCCGCGGACGCCTCAGCTGGAATCAAGAGTAACTCGGCTCAAGTTGTTGCTAATTGGATTAATGACCTGAAAAGGCGTGTTGCTGGCTTAGGTCTGCTGCGCCCCCTCTACAAGCACTCACCATTCATTTAGTCTTCTCTTCACAGGGACTTGGATCTGTTGTCGCATAGTTTTGGTGTGTACATTGTAATTATAAATTACCATCGGCAAGCTTTACTGTTATTTTTTATGTGTTACAATTTTTTTTTGCTTGGTGTGTTTTTATAGCTACACATAATTCTGTATAGTAAGGGATTTCTGCATGGTTTTATTTAATTACGATTTATACTACTACTGCACGGCCTCACATGCTGACAGGGCTCATCATTATACAGCTTATGTGTGTTGGGACTAGTCAAGCAAGACACTTCGAGGCTTGGTGAAAAAACGGTGACTGAACACCATAGCTGTGAATGGTTCATATTAGCATTGGCTTCTTCAAAACATGGCTATATACTGTCTGAAAACGTGACCATAACTGTACCTAGCAATTGTCACTCACTTGACGACTCCCACCACACCACGGCTGTCAACACTTACTGTACAACACGGGTTAGCGTTGACCTCACTGCATGACCCACGAGTAATGGTAGTGCTTTTGTTTTGGTTGTTGTTTGATGCGTGACCCCGGGTGATCCCCTTCAGCTGGCCCGCAAGTGCGTCATGTTGGAGAACGACCTAGAACGGGCAGAGGAAAGGGCAGAAGCCGCCGAGGGGTAAGTACCTGTGTTATGTGCATCTAGTCAACACGGGATCATGTCCTGTTGTTGACCCCTGAGTGACAGATTTATTTAGTTATGTAGATTATATTAGCTATCGGTTCATTAATTTTGAATTTGTATGCAAATAAAGTTAAGCGCAGATTTCGCGACTGATAGATTTGTTTTGTTGACATGCAAAGAATATTAAAGTGATTTTGAATTGTTCAACAAAATGTTATCTCTGCTTTCATTGCCTTAGTTCAAGTCCGTTGTTTGAAGTCAGTGTCAGTTTCACGGGATATCTTCGCTGTAGAACACTCCTTACGAGTGTAGATGTTGGCATTGAGTGTGAGAGGTTGGTGACAGGTAATGTCTGATGTCGCCTCTCTCCTCTCGCCCAACAGAAAGATCGTCGAGCTTGAGGAGGAGCTGCGTGTCGTTGGCAACAACTTGAAGTCTCTTGAAGTGTCTGAGGAGAAGGTAAGATCACCATCGTGTTCTACACTTGCCTGTCGACATAGATCTGTACCTTCCATTTATTGGATGTGCAGGATCTTTCATATGATCGAGAACTTTTGAAAGAAGGAACTCATAGTTCCGTTTGTCGAATCATTGGTACATTTTCAACCATTTATCAATTGAAGGTAATTATTCAACCATTGTCACTTGAAATTATTCCGGCCAATGGGTGTCATTCAACTCACCGTTTTACATCTGAGTTTAAACCCAATCATTCGAGATGAGGAAAACCTCGGGTGGAACGAGTATTAGTAATATATATCAGACGACTAAGTTTTATCAAATACAGGTATTGACAAAAACTGATTGTCGATGTATTTTTGAAAATTTAAATAATAAAAATAATAATTGACCTTTGGCTAGACTTCCTGCCCCGTCCCGTACACTAATCAAGGTCGCGATAACTTTACTGGATCCTTTCCGTGATTGTTCTGTAACATTCAGCTTCTCCCCCTGATTAAATCGTGGCAAGGTGGATGCTGGGCCACATACAACCAAATTGATTAGTTTGGGGGTTTAAAAGTGACAAGGCCACGAAAAAACCCATATTATTGAATTAAGATGAACTTAGGAAAAACACGAACGAAGTGTAGCGGAACATGTCTAGACTCGGGGGGAGATACTGTTCCAGTGGTCACAACTTTGAGTGTGAAACACATGTGTATCCAATAAAAATCGCTGTGTATTAGAAAAACAATAAGAATCTCAAACATACACCATCAGTTAGTATTTTGTTTTCGAGGATTCCTTATCATATACATCATTACTTTATATTTGCTTCATTACTGCGTACTCAATGCTGAAATAAATTTTTCATTGACATGCTACGGTGTGTGAAGCTTTGGATAAACGTACGTAGATTATGACGTATTCCTAAAGATAACGAACGAGAAACTTTAAAGCATGTAATTTATTGTAAATTATTTATTCTATTCCAAGTATGTTTAAGAATGAAAATGTATTTTTACGCGAAATGTTCGTGCTAGTGATAAATTTAATAGCTCGTCTACACTTTCATTTTATCACCTGCTAGGATATGGGGCTCACATAAATTAGTGACGAATTTGCGTATGAACATTTGATTGTTTACTCACGCGGTTACTAATGCATGCCAGGAATGGATTATAATGAGTACCTTGTCTGTGGCGGTCACTTAAACATTCATAGATACGAACATATTAGGTTTGGCCCAGGTGTTGGTGAACCCTGGGGTGTGGTGACCCCAGTGTGGGCTGACATAACCCGACCTTCCCCCTACAGGCCAACCAGCGTGAGGAGGCTTACAAGGAGCAGATCAAGACCCTTGCCAACAAGCTGAAGGCGGTAATGATGCAACCTGCCCCTTTGGACCATATACTTGTTTTTGTTGTTGGATTTACAGAGTGTGTTGTTGACAGAGTCGCCGCCGATATCTCTACAACCATCGGCGGCCGTGTCCCGTATCTGTTGCTAATATGTCTGAAATTTGGTTTTCACGCGTTACTAACCAGATGTAGGATTTTTATGTGAATTAAAACATTCCTTTAGATATAACAAAATTGAATTACTCATATTGTGTGGTTTGAAATTAGCACTTAATCCGTATTTATAATTCACAAAATGGTTTTCGTATTAGGTAGAAAAACGTAAACTAATGTACTTACACTGTTGGTGTATGCATGAGTTCAGTGTATAAATTGACTCAACTCACATCTGTTGTGTTCAGCAGTGTTAAATCTTAAATATTTCTACACGAGTGTAAATGTTACTAACCTAGTCATGTTTTCCGTGTGAATGCCACAGTCTGCGCAGAAAGAAGACAAGATGGAGTCGCAGCTAAGAAGTGTGACGCAAAGCTTGAGAGAGGTAATGACGCCATCACTTAGTACTCGCGGCTAGTATTGCCAGATGGTGTGTCGGTTTATTGGGTTTCTTTTTGTCCTGTCTTCTTGGGAGCTCCTCTCTGAATGTTGGCTGTTTGAGTCTGTAGATTGATAAATGTTTGGTATCTTGCTACTTGCTTACATGGAGGTCGTCACTGAAGGGATTACAGCATGTATCCGCCTTAATAGGTGTTAGGAGGACGTCAACTTTGTGGTGGTGTCTTCCAGTACTTTCGTATGGTTGTGTGTGACTTACGGGAACACAGTGAGGGTAGGCAGGTAGCAGCAGAGGCAGACGACGGAGGTTCCAGATGTCAGTTTACAGTAAATATAACTTGGCTGACGGTGGTAGTGTCTGTGCCCTAAGTGTTCTCCGTTAACTCTGTGTTGTTACCGTTGTTGTTTTAGGCTGCACAGAGGGAGGATAACTTTGAGGAGCAGATCAAGGAGCTGACCCACCGTATGAGAGAGGTATAAGATTCCCTCCTTTACCCGCACCCTTATTCTACCAATTGCTACACTTGCTTTCACACACGCCTTAACTGGTTACTTCCCACTATGTTTATCTTCATAGTTTGCCTCCACACACAGCTTCACTAACCACCTACCACGTGCCTTAGCATATATTTGCTCTCTGCTAACACTAGTAAATAGCTAAATACAATAATAATACTTCTTGCTTTAGCATAAATAGATATTGGCCTTAATAAAGGTTTCGTGCTAAAACGTTCACGTAGCTTTCCTTTATACCACAATGTATCCTTTCTTTCACCTCACCCTTTCTGGTGTCTGTAAATGTGTGAATGGGGATTTAGTTCACATGGGGAAATGGCTGTACATATTGCTGTTTTTACTCTTATCTTCTCTAAAAATCTTGCTGGTGAGACATGTTTTGGCATTCAACAACTGTTCAGCTGTGACACCTGCAACTTGTCTGCTTTACCTTGGGTTCTCTTGGTGGTGGGACGCTGAGCGCGTGGCGGTCAGTAGTGGGTATGTGTGTCCGTGGCGTAGCGGTGGGGAGGGTGGCCCGCCCCACCAGCTGCTGCCTTTAACTGGTGATATGGTGTCTGAACACCCAGGTGAGTCGCTACACCTTCTGGGTATATATACTTTCTTGCATGGCATTCTTCTTGCATCTGTGTTATAGTTGTCGAATATATTATGCATTTTTATTTAATTTTTATCAATGGATATATTTGTTTATACTCTGATACCTGGTGCCATGACCCAAGTTGACCACTGTTGACCCTGATACCCCCAGGCTGAGGCTCGAGCTGAGTTCGCCGAGAGGTCTGTGCAGAAGCTCCAGAAGGAGGTCGACAGGCTCGAAGGTACGTCCTTACACACACACACTGACACGCAGACATACACAACACTCAAGTACACTCCACCACGGCACACAATACACAAGACATGCACACAGTATTGTTCTAGTGTGCATGTACATGTGTTCTCGCCACTTCGTTGTGTGCACATGTGCTCATTAAAACACGCTTACCACTTCCACAAGTATACACTCAAAAACTTGTACTGTGCCCTCGTCCGTCATCCCTACATTTGTATATATCTCGTCTACTGTCACATTTGATTGGCTGCTACACTATTTTGAAATTTTGACTCTAATGCATATTCATGTATAATCCCATAACCACAAACTGTCCAGTGTAATCATCAGTGATCTTGTCCTTCAAAATATATCCCCTGATCGTTTTGTGAAGTCCTTTGCATTATCGTCGTTGGTTTAAGAATAACTTTCCACCATGCACGGCCCAAGTATGTATCTCTACAGTTGCATAATCGCCCGTCACGGCCTATAATGTAAATAACAAGAGTAAGGAATCTTGTCAATTTTGTAATCATATCGAATAAAAAAAAATATCTCCCTGTCGAAATAATTTTTTAATAGAAATAGTTCCTCTTGGACATCTTTGCAGTACAGATTCTTTATTAAGAGAGAAATGTACATTTAAAAGTAAACAGTACAAAGTTTTTGGTTTTACTTTTGTAAAAAAAAAAGTTTTAAGTCAAAATTTTTATGGTGGAGTCCATATCCTTGAACAAACACCTAAATCACCTCTGACAACAACCATGATCGACTACGGCACTGCTATCATGTCTACTACACTCACAAAAGACCCGTACAGCGAAAATATGTATTATCTAGTCAAGTTACCGAAATGGCACTTCATTCTAAAAGAAAAAAATCCATACATCTGTCATTGGCTTCTTTTTAGAATTGGCACCTCATCATCTATTGGCTGTTTTATTTCCTTGCGCATCATCGCCAGTGCAATAATCCACGCCACTTCTGCAACAAAGGAACGTGCTTTCACATTTTATTTTTGCTTCTGTATTTCAATTTAGTAAGCAACTTTGGACTGTTGCCCTCTCGTAGCAGTGTCAGTGGCCGGGCCGCCGTGCTAACAGTTTATGTCTACTCTCCTTGTCGTGATCCGCCGCACATTACAACCCTCAGACTAATACAATTAAAACAGTCCGTGTTAACCCTCCCCCTTTTTGTTCCTCTCTGTGTTTAATTGTAAGTTTATTTATTTTTTCTTGTTAATGATCTTTAAAGGGAGTATTATTTTCCTCTTTGAATCTTGTAATTATTGTACAATCTATTTTATTTATTTTGGAATGAGGATGGAAAATTTTATTGTGTTTATCTTTCAAAAACCCAATTTTGCATTGCTTAGTTTTAAAAACCATCTGCCAAAGTTGAAGGAGAATCTTTTGTGTTGAGGTGTTAGCTAGCCGTGCTGCAGCTTAGACTACTCTAGGTTAGTTGTTGAATTTTAACTCCCGGCGCTGACCGTGCCTAGTAGTAGCCAGTGGACTGAGCCTTCCTGGGAGACACGTCCACCACCACCTGACGGCTTGTTGTCCCTCTCCCACATCTACTCCAGGGCCACAAGCAAGTCCTGTGGTTCCTCTTAACTCACACCCGGATCTGCTCCCGCCCGCCACCTGCCCACTCATGGGCAGGTGGGGGCGAGGCAGAGGGTGAATTCCCAGGTGACTAAGAAGACCAGGTTGAACTCGGACAACGGCAGGACGACCAACAAGACCTGCCCCCTTTCTCCAGTTTTCCCTTATAATTCCCTTGATTTCTTATTATTTCTTCATTGTATAACCCGCACCCCATAGTGTGTCCTAAAGCGGCTGAAGCACCGTAAGGACGTACATCTGTAGTTGCCTTAAAAGTCTTAGTGATGGCCGCAGCCCCACCACCCATGACCCTTTCCACACCCACCCAGCAGCCACCCATCTAGGACACCGAATCCCCTATCCCACGTGATAACAGCCACCGTCCTGGTCCTGCTTACAGTCTTCTTGTCTAATCTTAGTGTCACTGCACCTCAGATGTGTAGCCAACACAACCAACCTGCAACATTATGGTGTCGCGGATCCTGTGTTGTGTTCTAGTACCTGTGCCATCTTACCCTTACTAGATCACTACCAGGAGAAACGCGTTGCACATAACACTTGATCTGTTACAACTTAATTAATTTGTAAAGAGCAATATTTTACTTTAAAACCCTTGAGACTGCCTGGTGGATAGGCAGAAGACAGTAGCAACCAGGACCTGCTTTAAGGTTTAGTTTGGCACGAGTTTGAAAGCAAAAAATATAGTGTATCTGAAGCCTTAAAGCTTGGGTAGCAGGGCTGATACTGTCTCCTCTTGTAGTCCGACTGAAGAGCAGCATCTCCGTCCATCTGCATGTACCCTACACAGGTTATTTGCCCCCTCACTACCAGATACGGCATATGATCAAGCTCCTGCTCACTCCTCAGCTCATACATGGACATGTCAAGGAAACCAAGAGAAGTCTGAGCCATTGCTCGGACCGTTCGTTTCATGGACTCGACGCGAAAAAAAGGCAGTTTTTTTTCGGGTGGAACAAGTTTACTACTATCCTTCTGAATACAGTTACACACCGACTTCACTTCACATGACCATACCTAATACCAAGATAAATTCAGCTCTTAAATTTAAAATGGAAGCTAGAAATGAAAACGTATTTTTATTCTTGGTAATTGGTATAAGATTGAGGGTGGTGAATCGTCGTGTTGCCTTGTCTCCTTCCATCCCCACCTTAGTACCCCAGATTCCATAATCCTAGTCCCACCTCAGACGGGAGCCCCATGAGTGGCTTGCCTTACTCCAACTCTTTCACCCTACTCTAATTGGACCTGACTTGACCGTTTTCGTGAGCATATTGACCTTACATCTGACCTGTTGCCTAACTACAGGAATGGTTAAGATAAGCTTCGCTGAACGTATAACATTTGTCTCTAATATACAGACAAAAAAATATACAACCTGAGATAACATTAATTCAAAAGTTTTCATTAATTTAAATCAAAAGTACATTTTATCAATCTATGATAAATGTATCCAATCTCAACTTTTATAAAAAAAAAACAACAAAAGAAACGTTCAGCGAAGGTTTGCACTACTTGAAACCCACAACTGATGACTACACCCGGATTCCTAGGTTCGTGTGTAATTGTTACCCCTAACAAGATGAGAAACTACGTCTTTGCAAGGTGTATTTACTTAAAAACGCCATTTGGCAGCCTTCTTTGCCTCCACGATTCGATAAATAGTTAAGTTATAGATATTCTCATTTGTTTGGGTAAACATTTAACGTTCGAATGTTCGAGAATCTGGGTCAGGCCTGTGCGAGACCAGGCATGAGTTTTCTTTATTTTTCAGCAGTAACCATTTTTTTTTTACGAATTTTGTTAAGCATGGTGTGCATCATTGTTTTGGTGTGTTTTTAAGGTTTTACTTCAATAACTTATTTTATTAATATTATGTATTTTAATATCTCTCGAGTCGTCGTGTTTGTTTTTAGTATTTATATAGTAGTTAATTTACTTTAGTGGTTTTTTGTTTTGTTTTTACTTCCTGACCTTGCATGTGTGTGTGTTTTTTGTTTTGTTTGCAGACGATCTAGTTGCCGAGAAAGATAAGAGTAGGATGCTCCAGGCAGACATGGAGGCCACTCTACAGGACATCCAGAATATGTAAACATTACCCAAGGACCGCTGGAGGAAGCAGAAAGTCACAGGTTGGCACTCGAACCGAGGCAAACGTTCTCCCTACCCAGTCACTGCTTCCCCTCACGCTGCTACAGTAATCTATGGAAGGGGACGAGTTTTTCCCCCATCTAAGCCTCAGTAAAGCTTTATTTTCTGATTACTTTCTTTATCAAGGCACTTAAGGAACTCTGGACTCTTACTTTCACCACTTCGCTAATTTTTCAGTAATCTTCTGACTTGTAACAAATATATTGGGAGGCTTTCTGCTGGGAACTGGATTTTATTTGCGTGCATTAGCCCTTAGATCAATCATTCTGAGAAAAAAAATTGGCACAAATTATAACTCATGAATTGTCTTTAATTATTGCAGTCACTAGACTCGCTTATTGCTGATAATGGCAATTTATTTGATGTTTATATCCAATCAATATTAAACTTATATTGCCTATGTTCTTTACACTGATTACTTGGGGTTATTACATCTCGTAGCTAATCTTGCACTGAGTTCAGGGAAAGTCAGATTTACGGAATTCGTGATGCGGAAACTAAATGCTTTGTGACTTGTGAAAATCTTGCTTCCTCCGGATCAGACTGGGAGAGCTAAGAGAAGGTCCTCGCGGATGGCGGCAACTAGAAGTTATTCTGCCTAATGACGGTTATTTTTATTGGCCTGTTAACAGCAGTGATATACTTGGAAATGTCTTTATGGTCAGAAATATGAAACATTTAAATAGCATAACTGATATGACCATGTAAAGGCATTTTAAAGGATGCTGAAGTATTTAATATTAATTAGAACAATGATTTTGATAACTAATAATCGATCTTTGCTAACATTGTACTTTTGCGATTCTCAACAGTATAAGTGTGTGTAGTTCAACTTGCATTAAGTACTGCAGTCTGCCTGGTTGTTGAGAATCGCTGTGGCGCTTTATGATTAATGTGTCATCCTCTTTTTTTCCGTACTAACCAAAGTCTCTCCCACTCTCTTCCTTTCAGACGAACTTGTCATTCAGAAGGAGAGGTACAAGTCCATTACCGACGAGCTGGATCAGACGTTCACCGAAATGTCTGGCTATTGAGCTGTCCACCCTGACGAATCTACTAAACTACTACTACTACTAGTCCATAACAACTTCTCTGCTCTTACCCGCCACCACAACCACCATGACCACAACTATCACCATGATCGTTGCTCTACTACCTGTCATCTATTTGTTACCCCCTTACTACCGCTAGTCACTAGTTGGTGAGGGCGTGGCTGCAATAACTTGTAGTGCATTGTTGTAACAGCTCGGCCTGATTTTGTAATGCTGTTCAGAAAGTAGGCTTTCACCTATGTGGATAACATGTACAATTTTATACTTACAAATTCTTTTTGATTTGATGCTGATGTAAATAGGAGAAAGTGAGTAGGTATTAATCCATGTTGGGAGAGAGTGAACGTGTGGGTGGAGCACGATCCACGAGCCAGCAACTAGCTACTACTAGGGCGCCGCTCACGGTCATGGATACAATAGTAGTAGTTTCTGTTAACACGCGGCGGCGGCGCTCAACTTCCTCAACTTCCCTTCTCACCTCAGTTGCCTTCAGCTTCTGGGAACTAACTCTTTTCTTTTGGCCGTGTTAATTGACCTGTGTTTGTTAATCTCTACTTTGCAGACGAACTGGTTAACGAAAAGGAGAAGTACAAGTCCATTACCGACGAGCTGGACCAGACTTTCAGCGAACTGTCTGGCTACTAAACACTCTCTGCTCCAAACTGTTCTGCCATCTCTCTTCCTATGCCCTCAGCTGGCCTGTAACCTATTTTTTCATAAGCTTATGTAATTCAGTTTATAAGAATTCTTTTTACTTTTCCTTCTTTTTATGTGTTGCATTTGACCTCCAATTGAGTCAGTATCATCACTAAATCATTCGATATCGTGGTTAAGTCTGCCATTGAGGTAATTTTAATGTTATTAAACTTAAATTTATTCAGGAAACTTAATTTTGAATTTTTTTTCAAAATTTTAGGTTTCATGTACTCTATGGCTTAATAACATAAAGAAATAAATATTTATTATCAAATGGATTTTTGTTGTTTACGCTCTAATCCCGATACGACCTTGAGTATAACGACCACTCAGAGCGAGTGGCCCTAAGATGATCCTAGGACCACTACCGCCACAACCAGCCAATGGAATGCCTGTAAAATCTCTCACCCATCTGTTACAGATGAACTTGTTAATGAGAAAGAAAAATATAAGAACATTGCGGATGAGATGGACCAGGCGTTCTCAGAATTGTCAGGATTCTAAGTGTGACAAACTGGTGGGCGCCAACACGGTGCTTGGACGGGCGTACGTGTCCGCGGGCGTGTGGGCGGGGTATTGCACTCCGTCCCCGCCCGTGGCACGCTCACGCTCCTGCGGACTGACTTGACTGACGGCCGAGACGCGCCCCACACCATCATCACCCAACACCACCGCCTGGCCCGCCACGCTATCGTCCGCCGTGTAAAGGCCGACTCCCAGGGGAACAAGAGCCTCAATAACACCCACACTACCCCCCTAAGGGAAGTACTGGGTAGTATTGAAGCTCCGAACCGCCCCAGTAGAACACAAGCTTTAATAATGCCCACAACCCAAGTGTGGTAGTGAGCGTTATCGAAGCTTATGAGTCGTTGGGTTCGGCCCACGTCTCTCTTGCTCTGTTACCGTATGTAAGGGTGCATTGGTTCACCTTCTTTACTCGAGTTGCAATCAGTCTTTATGCGTCATGCATTTATTCTATATGGACTATCAATAATATATGTTAATAATATTATTCAACTTTTAAATCTGGATCTTATACTTACAGAATGATTGTACACTGTTTGTTTAACGTGTAATAAATTTTGTAAACAAAAGTTTTTTCATATTTTCTCCCCTTTCAACCTATTTTTAAGATTTTTCTAGTACCTCACATTTTATGACAGATAATTGGATATATTACAATATAAAATAATAAAGACAAAAAGTGTTGGTTAAGCTTTTTTTTTCAAAATTACAAGAACACTTTTCTTCAAATAAACAGCTATGGACAATAATTACCATTTTGTTTTCAAACAATTTCATTGAATAAAGAATATGTAAACAATCCTTTCTAACGTTATCCAACTCCATCGTCCTTTCCGTAATTCTGAGCATTATAGAATTGATTTTTTTAAATAACCATGTTATTTTTCCAACCAACACAACACCTAATTTTGAAATACATGCCACCTGAATTGGATTTAGATCAAATAAAGTTAGTAAAAAAAAATAATAATATTGACTCTGAAATACTTTAGTCATCATTATCCACGAAAATAAATAGTTAGATTTTGCTCGACATTACTTACGTGTCCCATGCTAGTTACCCATGAAAGTGAACATATAGGTACTGTACACGAACCAAACAAAAATTATTATACAGTATTATATAATCAGAATACTTTGTCAATATAAAGCAAAGTATTTAACCATATAAACCAATTAGTACTTAGCCCATGTAAGTCAATTATAGCATAACATCGATTATTTAGCTCATTTTAACGAATGAAATGTCTAGCACAGGGGTTCTCAACCAGGGGGGAATTTCCCCCCTCAGGTTTTCGAGAGACTGATACTAATATGGAAAAAATAAAGGATTTTCAGTATTATATGCATATTATTTGGAATGCACTTTTTGAGGCAGACAATCTTGGAAAGGAGGGGGGAATGACATTCTGACATATGGTGAAAGGGGTGCATGGGGCAAACAAGGTTGAGAACCACTGGTCTAGCATGAACTAATTACTTAATAACCGACAAAAATAATTAAACCAACATAAGCCCAAATACTTATCACAAATTATTTAATTAACTGAAGCCCTACTACGTAACATCATAAACTCGCGTAAACCATTACATAAACCAATTAATTTACTCACATCAAAGAAATTTAAACTTGTTAGTTAACCCCTCATAAAATTCTGAGGCAACCAACATTAAACCAAATACTTAACACATTCGAACATTAATCTAAACCACATTAAATTAATTACATAAGTCTAGGGTTTCTATCTGAAAATAATAATAAAAAATGTAGATGAAAAAAAAAAACAGTATTGGGAAGTGATATACCTATAAATTTATTACATAAATTTTAAATAGAAAACTTTTTTTTTGTGAATACAATGTCACAAGAATTAACTGATACGATCACTTCTTGTCCAGGACCTGATAAGTTCACGGCTGGTAGATCGATGAAATTCAGGGGGTCACTAATCAACTCAGAAATAATTACTGTACTTGTCCCGACCGAATTATATACAGTACGAGTACAATAAGACGGTTTGTAGTTATTAAAAATTGGTAAGTTTATAACATTTTGTCATGTGCTTCAGAATTTACACTACGATAAGGCTATTAATGCTTTCTGGGGGATCATGTACTAATATAGTAGTTATGTTAATAGATGTCTCGACCTAAACCTCAGTACGATGAAAACTAACGACTTTCTTACGTTATCCTTATCAAAACAAGTCACGGTCTCCGTGCCCTACTTAAATGTTGAACCAATGTGAACTTACAAAATGATTTTACTAAGTAAACACCATATATGCCTATTTACTGAATACATACCAACCTATCTAACAGTTCACTAACATAAACAGACAAATGGGTTACAGATAATATCGCAAACATACAAACCAAGACAGAATGAAACCGTGCATATATTTGCGTTATTCAAAAGGCATGGAACAACCACTACCATCTCGGCTTGAATGTCACTACCACATTGTAACCCACTACCGAAAACAATAAGTTTTGTTAACTTGCAGAAATGTTTCGTGTACGTATGGGTGCTGCCATTAACGGTTACTTACTGAACTTCGGCCCTGCTGTTGACTATGACGAATCCTTCTTCTAGAGTTTGTACAATGATTTTCAACGAATTCACTCACAAGCAATAATAAATGTAAAATATATCTTCACTACTTATCACCCCATTAAGTATTTAAGGACGAGTGTACATTAAATTGTTTCGAAGACAAACAAGCTCGTCAGAGGTGTCTATCCCGGTCTTGTCAATACTACTGCCAGTCGTCGTTAGTTCGTTACGGTCGACGTTAGTTACATATAATAAAAATTAAAATAAACCTAAAACATTATTTCTACGCCATTCTCTCTGAAAATTGTTCTGGTTAATTTTCCAATCGTTTTTTTACAATCGAACTTTAATAATAATCATAAAATTAACGTTTCACGATGAGTACTTTAGTTTTCGACTTAATAAGTTAGTGTTGGTTGTTTGGCTAACACCAAGCTTGACCATTAGAAAAGACAGCTTTTAGGACTTAAATATGTAATATATTTGGGTCTAAACACTAATAAATAAATAAATAAATAAATAAATAAATAATATATATATATATATATATATATATATATATATATATATATATATATATATATATATATATATATATATATATATATATATATATATATGCTGATAACCACAAGGAAAGAAGAAAACACGAAATTCCCAAGCGCTTTCGTGTAATTCACATCTTCAATTACACGAAAGCGCTTGGGAACTTCGTGTTTTCTTCTTTCCTTGTGGTTATCAGCATATAACTAGATCACGCGCACCTACAGTGATTTACTTGCATGCATATATATATATATATATATATATATATATATATATATATATATATATATATATATTATATATATATATAATATATATATATATATATATATATATATATATATAATATATATATATATATTATATATAATATATATATATATATATATATATATATATATATATATATATGTATATTAGGTTGGATGGATACATGAGCAAGCAATAGGGTTTGAGTGTAAATGGTACTGCCCAGTATGGGCCAATAGGCCAGCTGCAGTTTCCTCCAAAAATAAATAAATAAATAAATAAAATAAATAAATATATATATATATATATATATATATATATATATATATATATATATATATATATATATATATATATATATATATATATATATATATATATATTAAACCTCATATTCACTCTGAGCTAAAACTTAAAGATTTTACGAAGCCTCATAAACAGGCTAACGGAATACATAATTATAATACCACAAAATATGTACCAACACAGTATGGAACATCGTTGATCAGTGACGTAGCCTCGTTCAAGATTCTTCGAACACTGCTGGAGACAGCTGGCAACTCAAGGTAGTTTGTTTACTTTAGTACATAGTAAAAATTATGAATGAATGTAAAAGTGCTCGGTGACTAGTTACTTAGTTCCCTGTTGCTTAATTAATGGTTGGGCTTTGTATTTTCGTATTATATTATACTGCGTACTACAGTAAATAAACCATTAGTTGCCAGCTGTCTCCAGCAGTGTTCGAAGAATCTTGAACGAGACCATGTTTCTGGGAAGGAGGGGCAGACTTGAAGATAGGGACATATTTCCCGTACGCTCGCCCATACGGTCCCTGAAAAGGCTATCTGTAACGCAAGGGTCACATTTTATGGCCAAGATTAGTGTTTCATCCAATTGGCATAAAATTCAATCACTCAAGCTGATATCTCAGGATTTCAACAAGCAGCACTTAAAATAATTAATACTCGCTTCCCAACCCCACTCAATGATTTTGGGCTTCTCTGGCCACAAGCAACTGTTTCCTAGATACTTTTAAATAATCACATTTGCCATACCTACGACAGTGTAACCCAGTGAAATTGCGGCGTTTTTACATTAGTTTTCTATGAAGAAATCACCGGCGGGAAAGTCGTTAATAATTACCATATATAATAATGTGCAATCTGCAGTGCAGAAATATTCTGGCAGAAACCTGTTGTAGGATTTTCCCAGACTACAGTATGGACCTGAATTATTTTCTAAGTACAGTATGTACAGCAGCTAAAACAACTATTTGTGCAGGTGAGGATCGATATGCTCCTAAGTTTTATGACTAGTGACAGCTCTCATATGCCAATATTTATCGTCCATGGTCTCATGTTTCCCACAAAGTATGCACAGCTAGGGACTGTCAGTTGGTTGAAAATGTTCAAAGGAGGGCCAGCAGACTGGTGCCGGCACTTCGGCACCTCAACTACCCTGAGAGATTGGAGCCCCTGAACTTGCCTAGTTTATACTACAGACGGGCAAGTGTGAGCTCTTGCAAGACCAGACTTGACCAACACTAGAACAGGTTCAGGTACATTCAGGAGCCGGTGCATGCCCAGTACTTGCCAACAGTGCGTAACAGAGACGTGACCGGTCGCCCAGGCGGCAAACGAGCCGATCAGTGGTGAAGAGGATAAAAGTAAAAAGAATAGTTGTTTTAGCTACTTGTACGTCCTCGCGGACTGGATGCGTTGGGTTGAAAGAGTTGAGGGCAGTAGCCAAAGGAGGGGGGGGGGGGTTGGCTACAATGCCGGATTTACCACCAGGCACTGGCCTTAGCCCCCCCCCCCCCCCGACTCTAAGGGGCCCCCAAATCCAAACATTCTCGAAGTTGAAGCGTATAAAACATGAACTTCGTTCAACGATGTCCCTAGCAACGTCTCAATTTTCTGTCTCTTATGAACATTAAATGTGTTATTTTGCAAAAGCTTAATATTGATGAAATCATTGATAAATTTGGGTATAATTTGTTCTTGTTATTTATATATACCTTGAGGGTAGGGGGCCCCAAGTTGAGCTGTGCCTCAGGCCCCTATTCAGCATAATCCGGCCCTGCTTGGCTACATGCCCCCATCTTATACAGTATACGCCATCCACTGTCGTTGATTGACCGATTTATGGAATTTAGGTCGAGCCTAGCACTGAAGCCAATAGGCCATTTAGCTATGAATGGAACATCTTGTTTGCGTT